GCTGAAAATATAAACTTTTCATGAGAAAACGTTCCCAATGGGAATCAGTTCCAAAGCAGACTAGCAAAAAAACGACGCGATCCGTAGAGGCTGAAAGTGTGTCAACTAACGATAGTATGTAATAAAAGGAAAAAGTATACATATAATAGCATGTGTATAAGTATAAAAAGAGAAATTTGTTATGAATGGAGAAATAAAGAAATCTCACCAAGTCTGAAGTTTTCCGTTTACATAGATTCGTAGAAGGAACTCTCCGTCGCAACCCGGGTCAAATGTGCACGGAAGAATAACGTAGTGTCCAGCCGGTACACGGAAACGGCACGTTACCTGAAGAGAAATTCAACTTTATGGTATTTGTCGCACTACCAGTGATAAAGGATAAGGATAAAGCATTTGCCGTTGATCAATCCCTTTTTGGGATGCGGCACGCATTCTACTTCCATTTGTACATTCGTAGTGGCGTTTGAATGCGATGTGGCCTATACAATGACTTGCGGGGGCCAGCCGATGTACAAGTCAGTGTTTTTATCCTCCCAGACAAGTCTGGTACCAATTAACCGACCCCGGAGGGATGGAAGGCTTGGTTGGCCCGGGCGACTCACGACCCAGGTTCAAGGTCAACGTACGCTCGCACTTTTCGAACGAGGGGGTTGCATTTTCGGCTTCGGAAAGGGGGAAAGGTCGCATTCACAGGTTGAGTGGGCTTAGCAATTTGTTGAGAACGGTGATTTAGATGGGTATTTTGAGGGATTTGTGGCGCAGTGTGATGATACAATGATAGGTAGGTAGGAAGGAGTAGTAGAGCAGATGAGAAATTTTGCCGTTTCATTGTGCACGTACCCCCCCCCCTCCCCCCCGCTCGACGGCCATTTTGGAGGAAAAGTGGGCGGAGTTGGGCTGTGTCGACTGGTCTCAGAATCAAATACTATAGAAACAGCCATGATGGTGAGGGTGGTGGTCGGGGTAGGAGAAGGGTGGTCGTATTGGGGGAGCCTCCTGAGTCTCATGGTGGTGGTGGAGGGGTCGCATCGAGACCCCCCTAAGGGGTAAGCGTGCCACTCGCCACTACACCACTAGTGAGAGCGAGCTATGAAATGCATTAACACCGACCGCGTGAATCCAGTGTTATCATATTAACGAAGAAATTCCGGGGCTATCAACGAGTAGAACTCACTTCTCGCATATTGATGAATACCCGGGTACGAGCCGTTGGTTTACGTCCGAGAAGGTAGTCCGCACTGAGGGCACCATTCGGATCAGAGTCCACCTGAAGCACAATTTAGCTGTCTTGTGAATACGGAGCTGCACACAGCTTATGGTTAGATGCTCTTATCCTTGTGTTGTGCTTTACACTTTCGCACAAGTCGTTTTAGGTCATATTCGAGCTTACTTCGGGTCGAACATGGTCGCTTTAGAGGGACCAGTGGAACTGACGATAACTCGTCCAAAGTAGGCGGGACTCACAAGTGATGACAAGGGAGTATTCTCCAAAAATTATCAACTCTTACCTCGTAGACGGCAAATCCGATAGGCAAACTGTCTTTGCCGATAGTTCTCATTTCTCGGCGATATTTCTGCAGTACAGCAACGATCACTGTGCACTTGCCATCCTGTTCCACGGAATCTTCAGTTACAATGAAGTGCGAATTGTATTGCGGATTCCGAGCATATGTCTCTGGAAATTAAATTCTTATCAACAGGAAACCCCTAATCATGGGTGCTCAACGCTGAATTTCCTTACTGAAATAAGCCGCGGGCTTTACTGATATAAAATGCTTAATACTGTGCAAAATACACGGCTTCTTTTCTGCGCAACTCGAACCTTGTGTCACACAAGCGCTGCTTTACTTCAATGAACCAACCAAACATGGCTTGTAAGACTTATCTGGCGTAAGTATTGTAACGCTGAGCAACACGTTGTCCAGATTCCTTGCCCTTCCCCTGCCTTCCCCTACCCCCTACACAGACACATTCACTTTACCGTGGGCGTATTTCACGTGGCATTTGCATTGAAATAAGAACGTCTTCAATCGTGAAAGCCTTCCATCCAGTGGAACAATACGAATTACAGGCAGGTTTCGAAAATAAGAGTATGCTTAAGGCTGCAACGGCATGCGTTAACAGGTGGCTCCCATTGCAGCTCCCACACGCATTCAAATGTTCCCACAAGCAACCCCCCCCCCTGAATGAGTAAGCATGAATGATGAGGTCATGGCGTGTCGTTTTATTAACATGCAATTCTTTTATTTTACTTGCATGGAGCACACCAGCGGCAAGTGGCGCTGCTTACCACGTGCACGGTCTTAGGATCAAATCTTGCATCGTGCGCCGTCCAGGCCGAATAAGCTGTCTATCCTTTCAAGGACGATTAACCCTTTGACGACAATGGCACCCACCGGTAGGTGCCACCTCAAAATTTCCTTCTTTGAGCATTCAAAACATTTG